GCCATCCTGTTGCTCAGAGCTCGCGCTCTTAACCAGCTGAGCCACTCGGCCAGCCCCCTCCATTCTTACTCTTAACTAATAATCTAGTTTCATATTTTATGAAGAAGCTAGATGGAACTACTAGAGAACTTTGACAAGCTCTCACCACAGCGTAGATGCCCGTGCTTTTTCCTCCTGCACTTTGGATGAATGTAAGGGTTCCTGCCAACTTCCCTACACTAGACTTCTTCCCCCTCTGTCACCCTTCAAAGATAGGTTTTAGTTATTCTTCCTTTTTTCTATTTTATTAATTTTCTCAAAATCATCAATTTCCCCTTCGCAAATGATCATTCCTATCACCTGCATATATACTGTTATTTCTTCCATTGTGAAAAAAAAAAAAAAGATCCCCGTTGGTTACATATTCCTCTCTAGCTAGTTGTTGCGCCTTTCTTTGCTTTTCTTTCCTTTACAGCAAATTTTCTATAAATAATTGTCATTACTCGTGGTTTTCAATTTCTCTTCTTCCATTCTCTTGAATTAGGCTTTTGTTTTCTCCTTCCTTTCCACTTTGCAGACACTGTTATGTTAAAGTCACCAGTTATAACATGTTTAGTCATCTCACTTTTCTGTCGGCAGCATACAGCACAAATTGATCACTCCTGTTAGAAACACTTTCTTCATGTGGCTTCTAGGCCAGCACATTCTCCTGGTTTTTCTCCAAACTGTTTGGCTTTTTTTTCCTCTTCTTAACTTTGATGATTTATTTCTCACCTCTTTACTTTGTAAACATTGGATCACTGCTGTATGCACCCATTTAAATTTACTTGGTGATCTCATCTAGTCCCATGTTTTTTTAATGCCATCCTTATGCTTAAGACTTTAACCTCCAACAGTCAAATTAATAGCTTTATCGTAATGTCTGAAGGCATCTCACACTTAGCATCTCCAAAACTGAACTCCTGATATGGCAGCATGCTTCTATGTGGCTTTCCCTTTCTTAGTGAATGGCAACTCTCTCCTTCAAGTTGCTCAGAGTTAAAGCCTTTGAATTATCTTTAGCATTTCTCTGACTCACACTCCACATCCATTTCATCAGCAAATCCTTTTGACTCTATCTTTAGACTATAGCAAAATCTCACACCTTTTCTGCTATTATGCTTCATCATAATCTTTTGCCAGGATTATTGCAATATCCTGTAATCAGTCTTGCTGTGGTCACCCTTGCTTATTTATAGGCTATTCACTAAATACCAGCCAGAGGGATCCTGTTGAAATGCAATTTCAGAGAATGGCATGACTTTGCTTAATGGCTTCCTGTCTCATTCACCTATCTACTGACTCATTTGCACTGTAAAAATCAGAGTGCTTACAATGCCCTACAAGGCCCTGTCTGATCTGTGTCACCTTCCCAGGCCATCCTCTTAACTCTTCAACTTCATCTCCTGCCTCTATTTCTCTAACTTCAGACCAGATACTCTGGACTTTTTGCCTTTCCTTTGATGTGCTAAACATGCTCATACCCCAGAAACTTTGCACTAGTTGATCCCTCTGCCTGGGATGTATATTCCTTTGGATATATGCGTGGTAGGTACACTGCCTCATTTCCTTCAACTCTTTTTTTTTTTCTTTCTTTTTTTATTTTTAACAGTGCAAAGGTCTTTTCTTTCTTTACATCTAGCATGCCCTGAATTCCTAGGGAATGGGCTCTAGTGGCTTAGGCTCCTTTTCCTTGATTCGCAAAGTGTGCTTCTCTGGGTGGGACAGGCTGGCGCTTCAGTTGAACCCAAGTACCTTTCTCTTTGGCTTCCTTCTTTTCCTGATTATCTTCTTTCAACCACTTTAGGAAGCTGTCTCGGCTCTTAGAGTGCATAATATGCTCAATACGAACATTAATTTTCTTGGTAAAAATCTTGCCTTTAACTTGTTTGTCTACAACAGTGCCAGCTGCATGCTGGGTAACACTGTAGACCCTTCCGGTTTTGCCATGGGAACATTTGGGGCATTCCTTTTTGAACAGGGCCCATTCCCTTGATGTCTACAATGTCACCTTTCTTGTAGATTCTCGTGTATGTGGCCAAAGGAACTACTCCATGTTTTCTAAAAGGCCTAGAGATCATATAGCAGGGGCCTCTCTTCTTTCCCTTTGTGTTGGTCATTTTGGTAAATTACTGGAAGATGGTGGTCCTGGCCAAAAAGGAGCCCTTCAACTCTTCTTTCAAATGTCTCCTCTCAGTGGGGCTTTCCCCATCTTCCTATTTAAAATCCCCCTAATAACCTACTTCCTGCTTTACTATTCTTGATAGCATTCATCACAATTTAATACATTATATATTTTACTCATTTATTTTGTTTTTATTGTCCGTTTGCCCCGACCACAATGTAAGTTCCATGAGGATGGCAATTTGTTTTGTTTTGTTTTGTTTGCTGCTCTATCCTCTGCATCTAGAATAATATCTATATAATATTAGGTACTTTATAAATGTTTGAATAAGTGTATGGGTTTTTAGCCTGTCCAGTATCATGATTCTTCTGTTAGAGATAGAAATTGAGCCTTGGGAATTTAGTAATTTGTGGAGATGTGCTTAAACCCTCATCTGTCTTGGCGAATAGTGCAATCACTGTATGTGTTATTAATTTACCCATTGGGATACTGTGTGTATGAACTTTATGTCAGGTTAATTGCATTATAACAGAGGAAGTTATCAGTATTGTACATTTTTTACATGTGGTCTTACCCTCAATCATTACCTGTTTGGGAGAAAATAGAAATAAATTTCCAATATTTAGTTCATGTTGAAGCAGTTTTTTGCTAGATCATTGAAACTTGGAGAGAGTTGTTAAGCTATTTCCTCAAACTAAGCATATTTTGGAGTAAGAATTCTGAGAAACTCATCTTTTCTGCCTTCTAGAAGCAAAAAAGAGCTATATTTACTGAGATGAAAAATATCTGAATCCAGGGAACTTGAAGCAGCAAGGAATAAGTAAGAACACTGCTTCTCTGGTTTAGGTGGTTCACGTATTCCACGGATGTGGATTCCACAGGTGGAGATGGAATAGGTGTTCATTTTCTACCAGTGAATTGTTCTTAATTCAATGGAATCATAGATTTTCAGAAATTATCAAGCTACTTGCAGTCAAATAGGGAACTGATGAGGGATAGAGGTCACAATCAGAAGATAGTCATGGATCGTGATGAGTATGAATCATGCTTTAAGTTTTTGCAGCTGCTTTTAAAGTGCAAACTACAGGATGTGTCTAGTTGGCATTTCCTAGCACCTGCCTTGTTTGTGGTTCATATTTAAAAGGACTGATTGAGCTGAGAGTGAATTCTTTGCACCAAGAACTGGTATCCTTGGATTATGGAACTGAAATGTGAATCCCAGATTTGTCCTCAAACTCTTGGTCACCTGGACAGACTGTGGCCATTACCTGTGTCCACCCAGGTTCCTGAAATTAGAATTTTTCATGAAATGCTGGTACTGGCTGAGAGGTGGTAAAATTTCAGAGGAGAATTTAGTTGCACACTAATATTATTGTAATTTGTGGTTTGAATGGAAAGCCTAAGTTTATCAAGCTCTTTTAATTTGAAGAGTTTCAAACTCCAAATTCTATCTCCTCTTTAGTGGGTGGAGCTGAAATCTCTGCTCAGTGCTTTGAGCTTCCAGCTTTTACCTGCTGGCCTCTTGGAGTGACTTGCAGGCACAGGGTCAACTGAAGATCTGAGCATAATTTATGTACAGATTTTGGGGTAACCCCATATAGTGCTCTTCTTTTAGGGACTTAGTCATTCAATTTCTAGCCCTCGGCAGCCCCAGACTCCATTCTCTGACACCTCAAGGCAGTAAGACTGAGTCCGTCTGAATTTGAGCTGTCCCATGTCACAGACTGGGGAGTCCCCTTGTGGGACAAGCCTTATAAATGTCATTCTCGTCCACAGCACTTCATTTCTTCCAAGGGTCAAATCTCTCAGTGTAGGCCTACTTTTTGCCTCACCAATGCTTTTAAGTATTGTTTGTTATATCTTGTTTAGAGGGTTTGTCTGAAAAAAGCTACTGTGCCATCACTGAAATTGGAAGAACTCAATAAGTTGTGATACAAAAGGTTTCTAATTTCCATTATGATTTCTTCTTTGAATCATGGGTTACTTAGACATATATTTAAATTGTTTTTTCTAACATAAGGACTTTCTAATTATCTTTTTGTTATTGACTTCTAGCTTAATTCCACCATGGTCAGAGAATATACTCTGTATGACTTTAATTCTTTGAAATCTGTTGAGATTGGATTTATGGTCAATTAATATGTATGTTCTCTGTTTACTTGAAAAGTATTTGTATTCTTAGCTGTTGGGTGCAGTGTATGTCAGTTAATATGTATGTTTGTTAATAATGTTCAAATCTATATAGTTTTTACTTTTTTATTTTGATATGCTTTATGTGTCAGCTACTGAGATATATTAAAATCTCCCACTGTGTTTGGAATTGATCCATCTTTCCTTTTAATTCTGTTAATTTTTTCTATTTATTTGGAGCCTGTGTTGTTACATGAATATAAATTTATAACTATGTCTTCCTCGTGAATTGAAGTCTTTGAAAGTACATATTTTTCTTCTTTCTCTCTGGTATTGCCTTTTCCCATAAAGTCTACTTTGTCTGCTTATTAAAGTAGCAATATCAACTTTATTTGGATTGGTTTTATCATTGTATATATTTTTCCTTCATTTGACTTACAATTTTTCTGTTATCTTTATTGTTTATTTTCTTTTAAGTAGTTGAATTTTGCTTTCTTTTATCCCAGAGTGACAATCTTTCTGTTAATTGGAACATTTAGATTACTTACAGTTAATATAATAACTGTTTGCATTTAAACCAGCCAACATTCTATTTTTTATTTCTATCACCTGTTCTATGCTTCTTTTTTCTCCATCTCATCATTATTAGTTCATTGAATTTTCAGTTGTATTGTGCATTATGTTACTCTCGTTTGTCATATTAAGATGAATTTATTTTCCTTTTTAGGAAAAGATAGAGTTTTTAATACCCCATTGTGTGAACAAGGAATTGTTGGATTTGGGATTGGAATTGCCGTCACTGGTGCTACTGCCATTGCAGAAATTCAGTTTGCAGATTATATTTATCCTGCTTTTGATCAGGTAGGAGGATTGCACTTTACTATAATTGAACATTTCTAAGGTTAAATCCATGAAGTATTGAAGTTTTGCCCCCACTCTCCCACCCCCCTATCTTTTGGTTACCTTTTGAACTAGTCTAGTGCATTACAAGTTCTTTAAAGATCTAATAAAATGGTTCCAGAAAATGGATGGGTATAAAGGACTCATTGTGACATGTCCCTTGTCTCCCCTCTCCCCCAGATTGTTAATGAAGCCGCCAAGTATCGCTATCGCTCTGGGGATCTTTTTAACTGTGGAAGCCTCACCATCCGGTCCCCTTGGGGCTGTGTCGGCCATGGGGCTCTCTATCATTCTCAGAGTCCTGAAGCATTTTTTGCCCACTGCCCAGGAATCAAGGTATCCTCATTTATGTACTTTATTTGATCAGCATTTGATGTTTCCTTTTCGGTTCATTTTATTAACTAGTGCTTATCTAGAGGAAAGCAAGCAGGATTTTTGGAATTGATGTAAGCTTAATTTTTTTAAAAGAGATCTTAGTGGGGTTTTGTTTTTTGTTTGTTTGTTTGTTTTTTAGATCCACTAGTCCATCGCTCAGGTTTATAGACTATTTTTTTTTGAAGTATCACCTGGATTGACCCTGATATTAATTTTATAGACTTCAAAGAATAAGACCGAGAACGTAGTTAGTTTATCTTTCCCCTCTTTCAAAGCTCTGTGTTTTTTTCTAGTGAGTCTTTCTAACTTAACTGATTCTGGGGTAAATTAATCAATCTACTGTTTAATTCCTATTTACCTCATAGTTTGAAGGATAAGACATTTGCTTTTAGTCTGTTTCTTATTTTTTAAATAGACTAAGAGAGGCCTTCATGACCTAGGTGTGCTTTTCAGTGCAGGTAAGGTAATATTTGTTCAACCAATTAATTCTGAAGCATCTTTCTCTTATAGCTTTCCACAATACTCTTAGGTTTCCACAGTAGGTTAGGCCTTTTAATAAAAACATTGCATAGTTTAAGTCTAAATTTTTTACACTATCATTTTTTCTAGTTGTATTTACTGAAGAGCTTTCTAGGGAATCATTTTAGAAACTCATAGATATGTCTACCCAGGGCTCTGTGTCTGTTTTTGTGACAGCATGAACTGGTTGTGAACATGTGTTTATGTTTTATTTGTTTTTTCTACCAGAGCAAAGTCATACAGTTTTTCTTAGGGAAGTAGAGGTTGCATCATTCTTCAATATAAGAGGGAAGTGGTAGGTTGGAACAGAAGCCACATTTGAGGCAGCAGGTTTTTTGTGTGTGCTTGAGCTGAACATTGATTCACATTTAATGTTTATGATGTTACCCAGTATTTTTAAGAACAGGTCTTTTCTCTCAATCCCCTACTTTCTCTCCCCCAACTCCTTTCTTTTTTTAATCTCAAATTAAAGTATCCATATAGTATATATGCTAACAAGAAATACTAAATGCTAGAAATAAATACATGAAGAAAGCAGATGAAGAGACACTAAAGTAGGAACGTAAGATGGACATTGTGTGTTGTAGTGGGCATTGTGTTTAGCTGCCTATTGACAGAAAATGAAATAGTGAGATTTGTGCTATTTTATTTTTTAAATAAAAACCCTTCAATACAAATGTTATAAAAATGATTTTGAAAGCCAAAAATAGCTTGCCTCAAGGAACCTTATTTGAGCCTTTGTGATAAATTCAGGTTTATTTTAATGGTAACTCTTTCTACGTAACCACTGTTTTTATGCAATAATTTAACAGTTATTAAAAATTAGACACAAGTTTGTAACTTGAGGCAGAATGGTGTAGCAAGTAAGAGCTTGAGCTGTGGTGTCAGTTAGAACTGGGTGTGAATCCCTGGTCCAGTGATGTAACCTTTCATCTCTCCTTAAGCCTCAGTCTGCATTTCTAAGTTGGGAAAAATAATAATAGCTACCTCGTGGGGTTGCTATGAACAGTGGATGAATTAATCCCCATAGAATTCTCGGCCCAGTTAACACATGTGCTATCTGCTGTCATTATCATCATCTTCCTCATTGTTAACCTCATTCTCGAGAAGGTCGTGGAACCCTTTCCTGTCAACTGGGAGTGTGCAATATCCCCATTTTTCTTTTAGCTTTGCAATTACTGGACATTATAGAGGCCGGATCGTGAAGCTTAGTGGGTTACTTTTCCATGTGGGAAATGAAGACCATGTTATTTATGGAAAAGGAGATTTTGATATGTTAAAATTAGAGAGGAGAGTTGCATACTCTTTGAAAGTAGCAGTAGAATATTAGTAGAAAAGATTATTTTATAGGTAAATATAAGAAGATATTGACATTTTTTTGGTTTTTTTTTTTAACTTTATTGGGGAACAGTGTGTTTTTCCCAGGATCCATCAGCTCCAAGTCAAGTTGTTATCCTTCAATCTTAGTTGTGGAGCGTGCAAGTCAGCTCTAAGTCCAGTCGCCTTTTTCAATCTAGTTACAGGGGGCGCAGCCCACCATCCCATGAGGGAGTCTAACTGGCAACCTTATTGTTAAGAGCATGTGCTCTAACCAACTGAGACATCCAGCCACCTACTGGCAGCTCAGCGGCAGCTCAGCTCAAGTCGTTGTCTTCAATCTAGTTGCAGAGGATGCAGCTCACTGGCCCATGTGGGAATTGAACCAGCAACCCTGTTGCTCAGAGCTCGCACTGTAACCAACTGAGCCACCCACCGCCCAATAACTTTTTTGTTTTGATGAATGTTCTTTGCGGATTCCTTTTATACACACACACACACACACACACACACACACACATACATTTAGGTACTTAAGAGAAGATCAGCCTTAGTCACCAGGATATTATAGGCATCTGATAAATGTTGAACAAATAGAAGTTTTTGGGACCATATGTAAATTTTTATAATAAATGGTAATTAGGCTAAAATGTCAGACTTCTATTTTTATTTAATAACAACAGATTATTTAAGTATCAACCCTTCTTGTAAGTGAGTTTACTGGGATACACTTTTACTAAAATTGTCTTTAAAAAAATCCGTTTTTGCAGGTGGTTGTACCCAGAAGCCCTTTCCAGGCCAAAGGACTACTTTTGTCATGCATAGAGGATAACAATCCTTGTATATTTTTTGAACCTAAAATACTTTACAGGGCAGCAGGTAAAAGGCTTTCTTTATTTTATATTTGTGAATATCTTTATGTTTTTGTTTTTCACAGGTCAAAAAATTAACTTTTTCCCCCATAAGTTTGATTTATATTTACCTTGTAGGAAAAGACATTCTGATTTGTTCTATATTTAGCTTGTCTCAGGTATATATTTCATGTTAAGTTTAGGGAAAATCCGTTTAGATTGTGAAAACCAAGAAGCAATGCAGAGACTATGTTCATCTATGTAGTAGAAGCTTAATGCATGTGGGTTGAATGAAAAAGTGATTGGGCTCATTGTACTAAGTAATAGCAAATGCCCTTTTAGCTAAAGTGTCTATGTAGGACTTAATCTAAATTAGAATACTTTTGATAGGGAAGAAGTCAATTGAGAAGCAATGACTGGAGTTGCTTATCTCCATTTATCTTACTGTTGGTTCAGGATGCTTTTAACCCATCGTTTTCTTAGACTTAGCCTCAGGTCTAAGTACCTTACAGCTAACCACATTCTGGTTTCTGCTTTTTATTGGGTGGGGTGGTGTTGGTGGGGAGCTCTGAATATTCTGACACTGATTCTTCAGTTGCTGCCTATATGCAGTCCACTCTTCTCAAGCTCTGTGTGTTAATCTCTCAGATGTACTTGACACTGGCAGAGTCAACTCCGAACTTCCAGTTGTTTGGAATGATGTAAGATGACCTGTGGAAGACATTTCTGTATTGACAGAATCAAACAATAAAAGAAGGTGCTTTAGATTAATTTAAAAAACCAGAGTAGCGTGGTAGTTTCTAAGTTGTGGCAATAGAAATAATTTTGGTATCCATAAATAATAATTTAATTGATCTTTTTTCCTACATCCTTTCTTCTTGAATTGCCAGCATACATTGGGAATAGTTAAAACAGTGGACTAAAGATATGGATTCTACATTTAGAGTTAAGAGTTCATATTGTGAAGGTTCATAGAGTAATAAATATAGGTGTGTATTATATTATAAACAGTAAGCTGATAATTCTTTGTAAAAATAATTGGGAGTTGTGTTCATTACATAATAGCCCATTTAGATGAATTATCCAGTAATCCTAACTAAATGAAACATCACAAAGATTTCAGCCAGCAGGAAGGGGGAAGGAGGAAAGGGGAAAGGAACTCTTGTTCTCTTTAAAGAATGACTTGGAAATTGCACATATTGAATCTACCCACATCCCATTGGTTAGAACTTAATCACAGGACCACACCTAGCTACAAGGGAGGCTGAAAAAAAATAGTCTTTAACTTAGGGCCCAACTGAAAATTTTATTATTACACAATGATGGGAGGTGGACATAAACAACTACCAATCTCTGACTGCCAAAGTTACTTTCATGTTCTCCAAAAGAAGTCATAAATTTTAAGGAGGGAATAGAACTGTTAGAAATAATGTGATTATTTACCCTTAGATCCATAGTCCACCTCTGAGAATCTATTTCAGAGATATACTGAAAGAAGCTTGAAAAAAATGTTACTGTTCATTGAAGTGCCACGTTGTTCATCAGTAGGGATTTGGGTTTTTTGAATAAACTAAGCTACATCCATCTGATGGATTGCACTGCAGCTCTTTAAAGGCGTGATCTCTAGATTCTGTTGTATCAGTCAGGGTTTGATCAGAGATGCAAACCACTTGAAAACACAATAAGGAATGTATTATGGGCATTATACCTATAATAAATGCAACTGTAGAAACTAAACAGTCTGTGAAAAGCTTTTGCATCTGTGTTTGGTGCTGTATCCTGAAGTCTATAGACCAATCACACTGTTAGGAAGGGAAGATGGACATGAAGCAGGGGAACAAAGATAAACTAGAACCTGTTAAAATGGATTGGAACCCAAAGGACAGTCTGGAGCTGGTGTCTTTTTCTCACTACTCCCAAACCTTAGTGTGAGGAAAAGATTGGTCCTTAGGAGACTGGCCTAGGGGGTTTTAACAGCCAGCCTAAGAAATGGTGAGTGCCTGAATTAGCAGAGGGGGATGGGTTAGAAATGTCTTAGATTATGTGAACTACTTGGTGTCTAAATGAATTTAAGTGGGGAAAAGAAGAGGGAGGTGTTAAGACTAAGTAGTATAGAATAAGATTTCCTTCTCTGGTGGTAATGGAAGAACGGTAGATTAGATACTCTGAAATAAATGGGATTTGGTGTTGGGGGCGGAGGGGGAGGGTGTTTATTTTATATACTGAGCTGGCATGCAAGTTAGGAGTCTGGAGTCCTGAAATGTGAGGCTCAGAATCCTGGGAGTTAAGTGAATGCCTCAGTGTCTCTAATGGTATTTGCCAGGTCCTGGAGACACTGAGCTTCTGCTTTGGTGACACTGGGGACAGGAGATAAAGTCCAGGGCCCACTTTAGGTAGAGAATCTACTAGGAGCCCTTTCTTAAAGCTGGGGCTCCACAGACTCTATCCACAGTGGAGATGCAGAGGTGACAGGAAGGAAAATTACCTGTCTTGACTCTAAAATGGTGCAGAGAAGAGAAAAGTCTCTGAGAATTTTTATCACAAGATGAATCTTACACAAAATTTTGATTCAAATATGTGCTAGGAGTGTGGTCTGAAAACCTTTAGGTAGATAATTTAAAGTGCTACCGGGATGGTGGCACCCCAAGAGAGCTGTCAGAAGGAAGAAAATCCTCTCTGGAGTCACCTTTATCCAAGCCTCAGAATAGTCCCACAGATAAAGTCCAAGGAAAAAATAGTCTTTCTGAGCAAGAACAAGAAAAGGCAGATGCAAACCCATTAGTACTTTAGATATTAGAACTATCATATAGAGAATACAAATAAAAGTAGGTTTCATATTAAAAAAAGAGACACTTGAGTCCAAGCAGGAGACGAGTAAATTTGAAGAACAGAATAGACTGTCTATAAAATAAAAACATAATAAGTGAAAGAAAAAAAAGATATCTGATCGTTTAACCAGAAATTATAAACAACAGATAAAAGGAGAATTAGTAAACTGGAAGGTAAAACCAAGGAAATTACCAAAATGTGGTCTAGAGAAATAAAGAGAAGAAGGAAAATAGGACAGACATGTGGAGTATGGAGGAAGAATGAGGTCTAAATACATATATTTAAACAACAGAGTGTGTTTTCTAATAATGTTCATTAAAAGAGTTTTGCTGACAGAAAAGTAATTCCCTGGCATATTTTTCCCCACTCTGCTACCATTGGAATTAGACTAATGCAGTAGGAAATGTTTTAGGAAAGTATCAACTACCACTCATCAACTATTCACATCAACTATTACCCTCTTTTCCCTCCTGCAGCATTAAGGTAAGATGTTATTTTCTCAAATTTAGAGTAGTGTTCTATAGGTAATTCCTGACGTAAAGTATTTGAAGGATACTAGGTAAAGAGTTCCTTAGGAAACTAAAGTATTAGGTATCTACAGAAGTTAACTTGCTAACTTAAAGAATTTTCCCTAATGTATAATTTTTATCTCTCTATATAATTTATATCACTGAATACTGTTTAAGATTGATTCTGTTAGAGCAGTAAATAGTTATTCAAGGCTTTAGCTTATAGTTGAAGTGCACAGCTTTCTCTCTCATCAGTTGATCTTTTAGCATCTATTGGTCCCTTATTTTCCTTGTAGGACATATTCTTCCCATGGCCAATGCTCTTAGCCCACTCCACGTGGTTCTGAGGGGGCTGCCAGTCATCATATCTGACTTCTCTGATCTCAGGTGATGGACATGTGGTTCGAGCCTAGCTATTTTGACTTCTTTTCAGGTATTTTATATGTGGAGACAGAGCTGCACTTGTTATGTGTGGTTTGCCTGGGATAACATGAGACTGGGGACAAGTCCCCTGTCACTTAGTGAGTGATAGTGTCTAGTCGAACACTGTGGGGCTAAGCAGATACGTTCATTGGAGATCAGAGGGAGGGAGAGAAATAGAAATCAAAAATGAAAATCCTCACCATTTTATTAGGTTAGTTCTTTTTTTTTTTTTTTTAAAGATTTTTATTGGGGAATTGGGGGGATGGGAACAGTGCTGGGGAATTGGGGGAAGGGGAACAGACAAGTTGCTGTTGTTTTGTTCTTCAGTCTAGTTGTGGAGGATGTTGCTTCACTGGCCCAAGTTGGCACCATCATTGCGCTCTTCCCGGGGGAGGCAGATCAGTCGCCGGCTTCTGGATGGCCGTTCACCGTGGCTGCTGGCTACATACGGTAGCCCATGGCAACCCACTGCCACAGGGGCTGCAGCCTACACCGTCGCCAGCAACTCACCGCAGCCCAGCTCCAGGTTGAGCTGTTGTTCAGCATCTTAGCTGTAGAGGGCAGTGTCACTGGCTCTCATATGTGGGATCCGAACCGGGGCCCTCTGGCGTCCCAAGCCAGTTCTTAACCATCGCGCCACTCGGCCAGCCCCTAGGTTAGTTCTTAACATTCCTTGATTACTCATTCCTTTATTCTTCCTTTGATTAAATGGAAGGACCTGGGGAAAACTCATTAATTACACTTTCGGTTTAACCTCCTTTGAGTTTCAGACCCCTACTGACTCTACTAATATAATAGATAATCTAGATATATATGATATAGAGAAGATGCTTCCCTTTTAAGATGAAATATCTCCAGTTTGATTAGCACAATAAACTTCAGCCTGTCATAACATTTAATAAATGCTATGTTTGTCCTAATGGCTTCAGTAGGAACCCCTTCCTCTTATATATAATAATACTTTAGAAGGTTGTTGAGAGGATTGAGATAGTCCATGCATGTATCTGCCTCGCCTTTAAGCACTTTTTGAACATTTCTGTGCTAGACACAGTGCTATGTTGCATAGACATATGGACTATTTCGTTTAATCCTCACAATACCCTTAGCAGAATAATTCTGTCATTATCACCATTTTACAGGAAACTGAGCATTAGGGAAGTTAAGCATCTTTCTCAAAGCCACACAGCCAGGATTCAAACCCAGTCAGCCTGTCTCTAGGCCAGAATTTGGGCATTTATTATGCAGCTGGTTCCATTTAATCTTTACA